GAATTCAAGGAATCGCGGGATGTTTATTAATTTTCATTAATCTTTATTACTCAACAGTAATAGATGAACAAGATAAGACAAAAGGCAGAAATAATGTATGGAACAATATGAAGGAAGCAGAATTTGACATGAAAGAGTTTCAAAAGTAAGGATTTCATTTTCGATCATTGTGTGAGAACGGGAACAAATGACGACATAATGTCACGAAAACCAATCCGTCACGCTGCAACTTCTGAATGTCCTCTTTTAATCTATTCCAGGCTCTTTGGTAGGAAAATTAACAAACGAAAGAGAGCTAATAAACGAAAATCTCTTCACGAAGATGCTATTTTCAGTCATTCGGAGGGCAAAAACGTAAGTCTCTAACAGAATATGCAGGGCCGGGTTGTTCAAAAATCGATTAGCGCTATTTCTGGGTTAACTCTTAGGGTGACGCCTATGGAGTTAAGCCTAAATTAACGCTAATCGCGGGCTTTGAGCAATCCGGCCCTGGAGTCTCAAGTTTTATTGCGTCAAATCTAGTGAAGAACCAGGGCTCGAAATAACGGCAAGACATATGCAGGACAAGATGTCCTTACAAATTCATTTTTGGAAGGTCATGTCGAATTTTGGAAGGTCATGTCGAATTTTGAAAGGACAAAAACTTTATTATACTATCATTTTCTTTTAATTTATAGATTTTTGTATTCAGAAAGATCGGAAAGCATTTTAATGGCTTGTAAAAGCTATATTTGGCGGATTGGGAACTGATTTTTTTGTATTTGTCTAAAAATGTGTCAGGTCAATTTGTCCTTTCAAAATCCGATTTGGCCGGTCATCTGGAAGCACATTGTCCTTTGACCGGCCGTTATTTCGAGGCCTGAAGAACCAAGAAGAGAGTACATTTTTATATGTTAAATTATGTATACAGGTGATCAAGGTACTCGATAATGGTCGATCACAGACTATCGGTATCATCATGACAAGCCTGAACTGCCAACTCGATGACGTCAAAGATGCCATTTATAAAATGGATACTAATACGATAGATATGGACGGGTAAGAACGAGCCAATCACATGGCATGTTAGAATTTATTGTACAACAACAATATAACGCGCGCTCTCATTGGTTAACTCGTGAAGAGTAACGTTTTAATTGTCTTACTCGATCGGTAGACATTTTCGTTCGCGCGCGTATCTCGCCGTCGATAGAACAACATATTAACTTAGGAAGAAGAATTAAATAAGAATACAACACCTTGGAGTCAACTGACTGAATAACTTTCCTTTGACAATTCATTTTCTTTATTTTCAGTCTAAAGGCTCTGTATCATATTCGACCAAAACCAGAAGAAATTGAAGTGATAAGTAAAGAAGTACAAGACCATCCAAACGGTTCGTTGCAATCTAATTGAGTCACTTTGACTATTTTTGCTTTTGTTCTATTGGTCTTTTTACTACATTTGCCAAAAGTTAATGACGTCATGCGATTTTCGGCGAGTTGCACGATGGGATTGATATGCGTGCAAACTGAAGTCATGTTGTGTTTCAGACTGTTTTCCGAACAGAAAGTATTACTTATATCTGTGGCAGTTCTTTGAGTATTCTCTAGTGTGAAGCCATCTTATTCAATATTAGTCGAAAATATCCTCGACAACGTTTAACGTTAATTTTGCAAAGGAACGTCGTCCTCTTTTTATAAGAGGTCCGCCATCTTGGAATTTTTATCAATACCACGATGCACCTCGTCAAAACAAAAAYGACGTCATTAGTGGACAAGACCGTTTTCACGACGGAGCAAGACGCGCAGACTAATTCTGTTTATCCTTTCAACCTTTCAGCTCCMTTGGACAAACCAGAAGAATTCTTGATGCGTCTCCACAAGATGGACCATTTCTCTGAACGACTCGAGTGCTGGCTGTAYAAAGATCGTTTTACTGAAACCGCTCATGATGTTTGTAAGTGAAGACCTGACTTTTTAACGTCTTTGACATTCATTTTGTGCTTATTCGCGATGTTTTTGTTTAATTTAGCTCGTCGACTTGGCGCCATTGGTGAAGCGAACGCACACATTCGTACAAGGTAGAAGATATTGCTGTTGCAACAAGAACTTTGCTTCTTTGTTTCATTATCAATAGTCTCCTTCACGGTGCGCCATCTTGAAAGGTAACCGTGCCTTTGCATCGAAGCGAGACGACCGTTGAACGTGCAATGATAGAAACCTTCTTTCACACCTACAGACAATAATCCACAGGTATCTATCATTGCACGCTCAACGGTTGTCTCGCTTCCATGTTAAGGTACGGCTACCTTTCAAGATGGCGCAGGTAACCGTGAAGGAGACTATTGCCTGTTTCTTACCCTGAACCTCTCGTGTGAACTTTTTTCCAGCCTTTTGTCTCATTTGTATTGAATTCATAACATGTGAGATTCGGTGTTTAAGTGCGTTGCTGGTTGTATCAGGGGTTTTAACGCATTTGTTCCAATAATGTTTTGATAAGATCTCATCAGTGGTGTAATTTGTTGCAGCCAAGAGATYCAGTTTGTTCTGTCTCTTGTATTGGCTCTGGGTAACTACATGAATGGCGGCACAACACGAGGTCAGGCTGACGGCTACCAACTCAATGTGCTATTGAAGCTGAAAGATATCAAAACACAGGTAACCAWTCAGAATTTTTAAACTTTGCATTACTACAGTCTCGCGTCTTGTGGGCATAATCGTTTTGACGTCATCTTCATGATATCCATATTAGGACAACACGATGAACCTGATGCAGTACATTGTACAATACTATTGTAAARCTCGCGAGGTCAAGGGACCTGGGGCTGACTACACGTTACCAGACCCCTACATCGTCTTGGCTGGTTCCCAGTCTTCCTTCAAAGAAATTCGCGAAAGTGAGTTGCAATTGACAAGTTTTGGTGTTTTGAATGCTATGAATGGACTGCAGTGAGTTCATTATTTCTCTTGCTTGGCGTTTCTTCAGTTGACACAAAATATTAATATAAAAACCCTCATTAATCAGTTAATATGAAATTGTTTTCTTTTAGACATGGCTCAAGCAAAGATAACTTTGGCAACCTGTAAGGCAAAGGTATGCTTACCACAAAACTAGTCAAAAGTGTCGTTACTCTAGCAATTCTCTTCACAACTTGTCTGGCAGTTGCTGGAAAATTGCTTTATGTAACGAAGTGGCGTCTTGTACTTCTTATTGTGTTGCACGACGAAGAACTAAGATCTACTTTTYGCAGCGCACTGCAGCAACTTGCATCCCCGATGCACAGTTTATCCTTCATCGTTGCGCGTTTGTGAAACAAAAGAAAACTGCATAATGTAACAGCCACTTTAGTTMCCTGATAAATTTACAATGGCAAACACAACTGAGTAAATCAATCCGCATTCTGTCTTTTTCAGCATGAGATTGTCGTCCGTGAAGGTGCTGCTGAGTTTCGTGAGCCATTTGACAGCTACATGAACGATTTCTTCAAAACAGGTAACCAAACTCGTCTAGAACTAGGAGTGGGCTTCCTGTCTATATTTAACACAGGGAGCCCATGTTTCGTGCAGTCGTAGTAGTTGCTAGGGAGCTCAGTTATTCTTACAATAAGCTTCAAATTTCCGCAGAAAATATATTTTAAATACTTCATTGAAGAAGGACGTAAAATTTTATGTATCAGTGTAATTTCTTATTCTGTAATTTTTTTTTCTTTCTTCAAAGGCGACGACGAGTTGACGAGACTCTCAGAAAAAATGGAGACAATAGCAGGCGAATTCAAGAAAATCACTGATTATTTTATGTTCAAAGGCGATGGAGATGAAGAGGTAAGATTTCCGTGAAACGAAAATACACAAGCCAATAATAAAACAGCTTCGCAATAAAAACGAATCAGGGAATCAGCGAAATTAGTGCAAAACARCGAAATATTAAAAGTTGTACACTTTTTTGTGTGATTAAGGTTGGTCCTCCGTTGTTCTTTGGAATTTGGGGAAGCTTTTTAGAAGACTTTAAGAATTACTGGAAGGTAGGAGATCACACAGGGAGCCCACACGGCTTCTTACTTGTTTTTTTTAGTTTTTTTTCTTTCTTTTTGCCTTACGTTATAATTAGCTTTCCAAATACGTTAGCCTTTTTATGTTGGTACCTTCACTTACCACGTCGGTTTTTTTAGTTTTTTTTCTTTCTTTTTGCCTTACGTTATAATTAGCTTTCCAAATACGTTAGCCTTTTTATGTTGGTACCTTCACTTACCACGTCGGTTACGTTATCTTCACGTATACTGTGTGCACGTGAACGTTCAATATATCAAGCTATACCTTTAAAAAGTGACTGCTTTTACGTTTTACGTGCATATGTTGCGTTTTACGTGCGAATGTCCTGGTCGCGTTAACTGTCAATTGTTTTACGCAGGCCGAGGTTTTACAAATAGCCAAGAGAAAGTTCAACAAGACKGAACATTTACAACAGGTAAGAACTTCATGTAAAGTAAATATTTATAGTGCAAGTAATAATATTAGTGCACGAAATAGCCAAACAATAACGCTGCGTAAAGCCGAAACATACGTAGCTTATTTCACGTAAATCAMGCACGTAAGATAAATTTCGCTAAACCGCACGTAACGTTTAGTCTTGCTTTGCACGTATCCGTACACGCAAATGGTAAACGTAACTAG